AATTTTCCAACTGGTTTTACAGTTTTTAATTTAATAGGATCATACAGATCTCTGCAACAAACAAGATCTTTTATATTCGTCTTCCAAATTGAATAATTTGAAGTTATTAGTTTAATTATAGTATCTACGTAGTCGTCCATTCTAATTTACATAATTAATTACGGACCATAGAATAGTTAAGTTCTGATACCACTTGTTGGGTTTCGAACAGGAATATAATTAATTGTATAAATTAAAATAATTTCAAATTAATTTGTATGAACTAATAATAATAATTATATACTAAATTGATGCACAACTGAATAAAAATAATAAATAAATAATAATCATAAAATTAAATAAACAAAAACTTTTACGTAAAAAAATTTTTTAAAATAAAAGAATTACGGATCAAACTCCGAATCAAATTTACTGTTTACGAAAATAAATACAAGATAATCTATCAAAAATTAAATCAAACAATTTTTCTTTGCATAGAACTTAGAGAAAAATAAACAAAAATCAAATTTAAAGCTTTTTGAAAAATGACGAAATTGTTGATGTTCAGCAATAATGTCACTGGGGAGAGAGAATGACGATCCTTTCTTCTTTCTTTTCTTTTGGCCGTCACTCTAACACTCTTACCATATATATATATATATGTGTGTGTATATACCCCTTCCTCTCTCTTTTCTCTTCCTTTTCGCTTCTTGTTCTTCTCTCTCTCTTTCTTCCCGCACAACCACTCTTTCTCTGAAATTTTTTTTTTCTCTTTCGCTTGATCTGTTTTTCCATCTCTACTCTTCTAGTTTAAATTAACTTCTCCACTCAGAAAAGATTTCTAGAAACGTGAAATTTTATCTCTTCTTTATTTCTGCATTTTTTTTTTAATGGGTTGGATCTTAACATTATGATGTTACCAATGCATCTAATCTCAATTTTTGTAATAATGGTGCCACTTTTTCAGCTTGGTACCATTTCACACCATATGGTACTTGATTTTTCAAGTCTTGCATCTTAATACAAGGGAAGTGACAAATCAATGTTGGAAACAAGCAAGATTTGAAAATTCACCATATAGGTTCTTCCTCTCTACCTTCTGCTACTAGGCCGTTTTGTTTACTTCATGTTCTTGAAGTTCCTAGGAACCTGTTACTAGTTAAGAAATTTGCAACTGATATCAAGTGGCCTTTTTGGAATTTCGGCATAATTATTTCTTCTTATGTGATAAAACTACACAGAATGTAATTTTCCATAGACCAACTGAGGAAGGATAGCACAAGTTTGTGTTCACATCTAGTAAACCGCAAGCTTTCATGGTAGAGAAGCTAGCTTTGTCTGACTGGTATGCACAGTTGGGGCACCTTGACTTCCACACAATTCAACATCTCATTTAGAAATTTGAAATTTCGTGCAACCAAATAAACAATACACCGTGGCAACCTGCTCTTTTTGTCAACTCAGTTATCTTGGTCTCCTCTTCATTTATAGGTCATTGTTCATCAAAATCACTGGAGCTTCTTTATGTTGATTTATAGGGTCGAGCTCCTGTGGGATATAGTGAGTGTCACAAGTATTTCGTAATTTTTATTGATAATTTTTTCTATTATTTTTACTGTCTTTAAAATAAAAAATCAAGTACAAAGCCATTGCAAATGGTACTATCAGATGCCTTTTGGTTGCACAAGTCTTAAGAGAGCTTTAGATTCAACTTCCTACTCCTCCTGATTTTCTTTTTGAGAAATCCCGTTTTCCATGCGTGGAACGAACATGTTGAAGTGGATTTATCACTTCGTTTGTGAACGAGGTTTAATAAAAAAGCTATAGGTAAAGATCATATCTGATGTTGATCATATCATTGATTCACCAAAACCCTTGGTCATCCTCTCTTCCTTCTGTTCTGTGAAAAGCTGCAGTTATATTGTCAGCTTGAGGGGTGTATTTATTTATTTCAAATTCAAATAGTTTTTATGGAATCTCATCTAATTTACTCTATAAGTAGTGAAAAAGAAAAACATAAGGTGTAGGTTTTGTAGGAACCATTCAGACCCAAACCACATCAAATTATATTCTGATTTTGTATGTTAACATTATGAAAAATGAATAACAAGTTAACGAACACAACTTCAGTACATTTTATATAGTAGTGATTTGGTCAATGTAATTGAGTTCATCAATATCATTAATCTTTATGTTTAGGCGACAATTGCGGCTCCACTGAAGGGGAAGATGTTCAAGGGACTGTGTGTTTGTTATGCAGTGGCTACTGTAACATTCTTCAGTGTAGCCATCTCTAGTTATTGGGCATTTGGAAACCACGCCCAGGGCCTTGTTCTCACTAACTTTTTAAACGATGGAAAACCTTTGGTGCCAAAGTGGTTCATTTTCATCATCAGTATTTTCACCATTCTCCAACTCTCAGCCGTTGGTGTGGTATACCTTTCTCTTTATGTTACAATATTAATATTTTATATTGAAGTTTCATTTTTTTGTTGAATAATTGATCAACAAATGTAATTATGCCCTTGAATGTACACAGGTTTATTTGCAGCCAACAAATGAAGTGATGGAGAGAGTTTTTGCAGATCCACAGAGCAAAGAATTTTCTGCTCGCAACATTATCCCTCGAATCATCTTTCGATCACTATCTATTGTGATAGCAACAGCCATAGCAGCAATGCTTCCATTCTTTGGAGACATAAATGCAGTAAATGGAGCATTTGGTTTCATTCCCCTTGATTTTATTTTACCTGTAGTTTTCTTCAACTTAACCTTTAAGCCATCCAAAAGGACTTTCATTTATTGGTTCAACGTCACCATTGCCTTGGTTTTCTCTACATTAGGAGTTATAGCAGCTGTTGCAGCAGTTAGACAAGTCATTCTTGATGCCAAAACCTATAAGCTATTCGCTAATCTATGAACTTAAAAAGTTATATCGGGGTTACATATCGGCAGATTAAATATTTTGGGAGTTTTCAGAAGATTTTACTGAAGCTATAAGTTGAATCTTAATAGAGGTATGTGCTACAATATATTTTCAAAAAAAAAGTTCAAAATTTAAAGCAACCAGAAAGCCTTCAAACTGATAAACACAAACTGAGCAGAGCTATCTAAAGCAGAGTAGGAGTCATAATCCTATCATACCAAAGTGTGATGTTAGCAGTCCTACGACGTGTTCTATGGAAGGTTTAGTGCGTTATATAAAGTAGAGTAGGAGTCATAATCCTATCATACCAAAGTGTAATATTTAGCAGTTCTACGACATGTTCTATGGAGGGTTTAGCGTGTTATATGATATGTATGGGGAGTATTATTGTAATAATTTTATTTAAATTATTGTAATAATTTTATTTAAATTATTGTAATAATTATTTCATTATATTCAGCTATATTACTTGTAAATAACTATAGTGATAAGTGTCTCTCTCAAACCATGCAAATAAAATAAGATCTTAATTAGATTATAATAATGCTATTCTTTTTATTTTGGACAAATTTATTAAATTTCTTAGTCATAAAATCAAAGTAAGTTGTATACCATTATATCATAATAGATTAGTGATAGTATGTCATTTACAAGAACGTATTTGATCTCATTAAACATTGATATTATAACGACTTCGGAAATCTAAAAAGAAATATATAATAATTTAAGTGCGGAAGCGAAATAAAAGATTAAGGTTTATATTCTTTACACAATAATTAAAAGTACTAAATAACATTACGAAATTAATTCTATGAAAGAAACACGAGAAATAAGAAAAATAATAAAAAATAGAAAATATTTAGCATCTATTCGCAATCTTCTTGCGAATCGGGCTCTGAAACTAGGTCTTCTTAATCTGAAATGGTTAAATAAATGATGAGTTACATTATTCCAATAAAGATATCACATTATATCGCCGGCACAGAAGTAAAGGTTGGTATAAAATCCAAACAACTAATTGAGCACTAAATTTAGCAAATTCATTTATCAATCATAAAATCATTTACCGTTCACTTACCATAGTGGAATTTATGAAAACAACCTATAGAGATAATAATATCATACAGATCATAACTTCATGAACAATTAGCAATATAGAACATATCACAAATTCATATCCATTAACAATAAACTAAATCATAATCGTTTCTTTTTTCACCAGTCTACTAGTATCCATGGAGGTTCATAAGGATATTCCCACTACACGTGAACCATTTCCATTAATAATCTCAATTACAGGGTCGTCCTCATACCCCGTCCGGTATGAGTATCAACATTAAATCTTAATACCCCGTCCGATATAAGGATGAAGCAGGTCGTCCCCATACCCCATCCTGTATGAATACCAAATTACCAAGTCTCCATACCCCATCTTGTATAAGATAACGTTCACGGTAGGCTGTCATTCCATTTGTTTATTTGATCACATTCCTTTCCTATTTTCCTTTAGTCTCCATTATCAAATTAAACATAATCACATAAATAAATAAACATGCATCCGGTAATGCAATCATGTCTCAAATCCCAAATAAAACAGTAGTCAGGTAAGGCAGCAATACATACATTTAAACCATAAAATAGATAAATCAGATATTATCATACTTTTAGACTGTAAAATAAATCAATAGAGAACAATATCCGGTTCGGACTCCATTAGCAATCCGTAATTAATTATGCACATCTATTTAATTTGTACAAAATACTGTATTATTATTTATTTAAACTTCAATTCTATGATAGGGAATAAGGTGAGAGATCCTTACTTGATTTAACACCGAAGAGTTAAACGGTTTACTACGCATACGGACGGTCCTTGGGTTCCCTGAATTTTTTCTCCGTAAACTGAAACACGCTTATAATACCTATAAATGTTCCAAATAAACCCAAAATCAGTCCTAGGGCCCATTTGGCCAATTTTGAAAATCCAGCATGGTAGCTCCGCCGCACTCCGATAGCAGTTTGCCTAAGTCGGTCGTTTCAGCCGAATTTGATTACATTGATTCCTGCCACAACACGTTAAGGACTTGGTTGG